TCTAGAATGTGAAATTCTTGACATTTACCTTTGTTGCTGTTAGCCAGTTACCATTGAGTGAAACAAAAGTGTTTGTTCCATAAATAGCAAAAAATTTAATTGTAAGTTGCTATGTCAAGAATAGGACTCCATGTGGGACTGTTGAAAGCTGGATGTTCTAGCTCTGCTTTTTATCATTTTGTAAGTTACCTAAACTTTTCACAGCTCAATTTTCTTAACTCTTAAAACCAGACAAATATTAACACCTAATTCATAGAGCTTTGTGAAATAGTTAATATTAAGCACCTAGAATAGTACCTGGGTTATGGTAAACACTCAGTAAGCTTTAGCTGATATTATCATTATTTTTATTATTTCATAAAATAAAGGTCATGGTTTTGATTTACTGGACTTCAAAGACAAACCCAGATGAAATTCTCTTATTTTCAAATGTCATTATTAAGAATAACATTATTGTTTTTGCATCATCATTTTGCCTGAATTTCTACTATTTTATGCATTACTAGAAACATATATAGCACAATATTATAAATCTTACAGGGAGACCAATGTTTTATTTCTATTTTTTAAGTGATGAATTGGTAAGAACATCAAAAATAACTACAATGTGTGTGGTAACCTTACTAAAATATGTTTATCGAAGTTATGAAATCTTATCTGAGGGCAATGTGATAGTGGTACAAAATAAAGTAAACATAGAAGTCACATATTTTGAGATGTCAGATATTTAGCCTATACGCAATTATTTAGAAACTGATAAAAATTTGAGGTACCAAACTCTTATTTTACTCATCCTTTACTTCTTCTGACTACATTTAGCTATGTTTCAACTCATTTATATACCCATCTTTGGGAGAGTGGGGACAAACAGGAAGGATAAAGTACAAATTTGTTAATACAGTTATTCCTTAAAAAATCAAAAAGAAGTTTAAACTATAACGATAAATGTACGGTGGGTCTCTGGCTCCACCTATGCAGCAGCTATGAGGCTCCCTGTCTCTGTTGACCTGGATAATTTGGAATTAGCTGATATGTTTTCAAAGAGGTGGGGCATTTAATCTTTAAAACTACTCATCACTAATGACTGAATGGTTCTGTAACAATTGAACTCATGTCATCCTCTAAAAAAATGCACTGAAGCTTTTACATTAAGCTTTATACTATTATTAAAACTAAAATATATTTAGCCACATTAATTTATTACCTATCCATTGCTGTTGCATTTAATGTACAGTTCATTATACCAAACAAACACAAACCTAGGTAACTTGAAAGAAAAATAAATCTGCATTAACAGAAAATAAATGTATGCAGAAATTTCAAAACTGTACTGAACATTTAATTGGACTGTTGGGCAAAATGTATTTAAGTAAACATATCAAGAGAAAAAAAAAAGTAACAATAGAACCTAAAACCTATTGATAGATTGATTATACAAACAGACAATGACCAGATCATATGTAAAAATAGAGATCTAACCCACAACTGACAGCAACCTTCCCAGGAAACCGGATGTGCCACACATGGCCCAGAAAGCCAGTTGGCTATGTCAGATTTGTAAGAAGCCAGGTTACTATCTCTAGGAGCAGTTCAGGAAGCTAAACAATAACTTGTGTAACAGTTGGTTCAAAATTACCAAGACTTAATTTTTTTTTTAAATATGTTTTTATTGATTTCAGAAAATAGAGAGGGAGAGGGAGAGAGAGACAGAAACATCAATGACAGAGAAACACAGATCGTCTGCCTCCTGCACTCCCCCGACTGGGGATGGAGCCCACAACCCAGGCATGTGCCCTGACCGGAATCAAACTGCGACCTCCTGGTTCATGGGTCAACACTCAACCACTGAATCACAGTGGCCAGGCACCAAGACTTGTTTAATAACAGCTTCCTTCATTTTTTGTCCCCACTTTCAAATTAGGAACAATCAGAAAAAGCAAAACATGTACCCCTAATGAATCACATAAGATGCCCCAGTTCTACTCTGCCCACATATAGCTTCCTCAGGACAACAACCTCCAAGCAGAACATACCCAAAGCCTTTCTTTTTCTCCCACTAAAGTTTTCTCTCTCCTCTGTCTGCCTTTGAGTCTCTGCCAAAACATTAGCCATGGTGGCTGATGCCTTTGCTATAGCACTCTCTGAATAAATAGTCTTTACTTTTCTTATTTACTAGTAGTTGGTTGGTCTTCAACCAAGTATCTTTGGGTGATTCTAAAAAGATGGTAAGAATTGTTTACTTGCTGGGCACTTCAGATACTCTGCAATTTTTCAAAGTCATATGCCTAATAATCATCTTAGATAAATATTAATGTGTTTATTTTACAAATGAAGAAAAAAAGTCGTAAAGTTATTCAGAACATTACCTAAAGTTACTTGGCTAGTGAGCAGTCACTAGCCAAGAAAACTGAATTATCTTACCTAATAATAGACAAACATGTAAATTAACCATCCCTCCACTACTCTCACCAGCCAATCAGGAGAGTATGCAAATTAACCCAACAAAGATGGTGGTTAATTTGCATAGGTAGGGGCGAAGCGGAGGAGCGAAGACTGAAGGCTCCATCAGAGCGAAGGCCTGGGTCCCGGGTGCCGGAGGAAAACCGGTGCTGGCAGCCAGGGGAAGGGAAGGCCTATTGCACGAATCTCTTCGTGTAACAGGCCTCTAGTCTTATGATAATTATCTTTCAAAGTCCAAAGAATATTCTTAAGAAACATCAGATTAAAATTCACTTTAAGATGTTCCTTTACCACCTAAGTTATCCACAGTTCCAAAAACTGAAGTAACCTATTTTCTAAGTATAACATAACATAACTTAGCTTTATAGAAAAGAAGGGGGTAGGAGAATTTTCACATGTTAGAAATTACCATAAAAGTTACATAAAGCCAGGTTGGGAAAAAATAGAATAACATAGATGACTAGTGAAGCTTTCTAATGCCTGAAAATGAAAGCGATATTTAAGCATAATTCCTTTAACAATGGCCATAAAAAGTAAAAAAGAATACTACAGATAATATTGTTTAAGTAATGATGTAGAATAAGAAATGATGGCTGAGGACCAAGTAATTCCTCCTGTGGGTTCTACTTTTTTCTCATTAATTCCATTTAGTTACCTCAAATCTTTATTAAACATTCCTTGCATTAAGTATAAATTAAAATGAAGAGAAATTTGAAATTTGAGAATTCTTATGTGAAGAGAAAGATTCAAGCTTTTGGACTTTGTAGCATTTCATGTTAAGGAAGGAAAACAATTTCCTTAAAATTTCCCTGTTTTAATAAAAAGCTATAAAGTTGTCACATAGAATTATAAATACCGAAGACATAATTTGGCCATTTTGCTAAATGTGCAGAGGAAAAGAAATGTGCCCCTTTCATATACCTAACGACTGTTCCTTCCCATTAGAGATTGACTGTCAATATCTGTTAGTTGATTTAATTTTTAAATCTTTTAGTTATATCCCCTCCCCACTGGGATGCAAGATATATTTTTCATAGAAAAGAAAAATTAATTGAGGTCTCCACCACTGACTCTTTCTATATCAGACCTTCTAGGCTGGGCAAAAGGTGTGGGGCAGGTTGGGGATACATTTTATAAGAAAATCACCTGGGAATCCCCCAAATAGCATGTTGCAGTTGATGTCAATAAAAACAACCATATCATGAAAATAACACGTTCTATTAACTCTGAAGCAATAGCATGTGTAGTAGAGACAGACGGCATGCATTAGAAACCAGCTCTTCCATTGGCTAACTGTGTGATACTAGTTAAATCACATAACTTTGTGACAAGTTTCTTCATTTTAAGATGGGAACAATAATAATAGGATCTCAAGGGACTGATGGAAGGATTAGAAGACACTATATGTGTGTTGACATATAAGAAATACTAGGTATTACTTTATTATTGCTGTCAACTTTATTTTAGAGAATGAGCAGCAAGGTGAACGTTTTATTATGTCCAGGGTCAAGACAATTAGAATGCTCCTTGTTTTGCAAGTTATAATGATCTTAGATGGAGGAGGAGACTTAGAGAAAAGAATGGCTCTTTAGAAAAAAAACCAAAGCATCATATTTATGCCTTATCAATGAAAATAAAAGATTACAGACATTATTTTACTGCTTCTCCTTGCTATACAATGGCCAATTCTTGGTAACAACACTTAATGCTGTACTCTGTCTCTATAGTTGTGTGTCTCTTTCATTTACTGGGCACTGTTGAAGGCAGGAGGTATGTCGAAAATCTTTCAATCTCCAGTGTCTAATAATGCCTCACATGCAGAGATACTCAATACATGCTGAATGAATTATGAGTAACATTTTAAAATAAACATATAAATGAATACATGGATTGACAGTTTTCAGAAAAAGAATGGTATTCATAGAGAATGGGCTTAATATGATAAGTGAAATGCAAATTCTTTTCAGACGTTTCTTTCAAAACAAATCTACATCTTCAAAATGATTAAGCAGTCCTCCTAATATTATTAATTTCATTCAAAGGATTGCACAATTTTCTCTTTCTGCTTCAACTTGACAAAATATTTAATGTTTCTGAGTGAAAGAGTTGTATTGGTATTACCTCTTGACTAATAAGTTATATCATCTTATTAAGAAAGAAAAGTAGAAAACCCATCTTAATAAAAAAATTCATTTATTTATACATGTGCAGTTTTAATCATTTGAATTGGTTTTAGAATTTTAAAAATAATATTTGTTTTAACTTACTTAAGATAAAGAAAATGTTTCCCCTTCTGAAATCTTGAAGATATTTCAAAGTGCATATTGTATTCTATACTTTTATTCCAAAATTAACTACATATGGCAAGTTTAGAATAGCTGTTTTTGGTATGGTATATGGTATGTTGTTAAGCTAGCAATCACACTGATTTGGGGTATAAAATTGTTTTGTAATTTTAGCCTTTAAATATATTTACATAATTTCATTTCTCAGTAATAATATGATACTAATATGATACTTGATATATAATTACTTCTTACCCTATTTGAGTCAATTCTTGCTCTGGACGTATAGATGGGAGGTGGGATGTTGAAAGCCTGAGGGACAAGGTATTCCTCAGCATCCATCATATCTTCCAAATCCTCTTCATCCAAGAGATTCTGAAAGAACTTGCTGTCGTTTGGACTGGGAAGCTTCATACGATCATCACCCTAAAGGATTGCCCATCAGAAACACAAAAATTGATTCTCCCTTTTATCTTAAATACATGGCCTTTGCAGTAAATTTATGTAATATCAAAACCAATGTTTGAAAATTCATGTACTCATGTAAAAAATAGTTCTTTAGCATAACTTCCAGCCATAAAGGAGCCTCTAAAATGCTCAGATATGACAAGGCAAGGCACATTTAATACAAGAAGAATACACGAAATGCCATTAGAGATAAATAAGAAAAAATACTGTGTTTTGAGGAAGGCAAAACACATTTCAGATATGAGATTAGTGGTTGGCTTTACTGCCAACATGGTGTCTGGGATTTGACTTTAAGAATAAATAATAAAGGAAATTGATTTATCAATCTTTGTTTTTAGGGTGGTTTGTTTAATAGTGTAGAGTTATCAGGATGCATAGGCTCCATGATTTGTCCTACAGCACACAACATTGTTGAAGTGAGAGCATTCAAAATCATAGTCAAAGTTATGTGATTTTTCTTTTGGTAAGTAGTCTGCTTCCATGATTTGTCCTACAGCACACAACGTTGTTAAAGTGAGAGCATTCAAAATCACAGCCAACGTGGCGTGTAACATAAATAGGAGTGGGAGAGACACCCACACCCTTGTTATACTCTTTCTTACCTCATCTATTTCATATTCAAAGTTATGTGATTTTTCTTTTGGTAAGTAGTCTGCTTATAAAAGTTAATTTGAGAGAGATAGTTGGAAATCATTATCTTGTCATACCTAGCTTTTATATTCATGTCAGACCATAGATATGAAGATAATCACTACCTTGTTTTATTGAGTGTAAGCCAAGGTCTATCTGTTTATGGTTTAGGTAAAAATCATCACAGAAAAATATTTTATACTTTTTTAAATTACCCAATCCGTTTTTTAAAATATATTTTTATTGAATTCAGAGAGGAAGGGAGAGGGAGAGAGAGATAGAAACATCAATGATGAGAGAGAATTATTGATTGACTGCCTTCTGCAGGCCCCCTAGTGGGGATTGAGCCCACAACCCAGGCATGTGCCCTTGACCGGAATCAAACCTGAGACCTTTCAGTCCACAGTCTGATGCTCTATCCACTGAGCAAAACCAGATAAGGCTCCCAATCCATTTTTTTTTCTAGTGTTAAACATGAAATCTTCTTCTAGCCTGTTATTTAATTTATATGTATATCAATTCATTTTAATCTGAGTTATGCTTAGATACTAAATATATCCCCAAACAAATTTAAAAAAATAGTTTTCTATGAAATAAAATATCAATATATTGAAGCTTTACTTCATTGTCTTCAATCATGGACAAGATTACGATAAAAATCTATCCTTTTTTGATCTGAAAAGGGAAGATTATAATAATGAACATGACACATATAATGCTAACACGAAGCGGAGTGCTGGAAGGCTAGTCTGAGGATAAAGGCTTTTTATGTAGATGGATAATCATAATTATCTGGCTGTTCAATAGCAGAGGCACTTGAATACTAAGGGAAGGTGCTTAGAAGTGTTCTGACATCAAGTAAAAGCTCTTTCCCATAAGTCATTTCACATGATATTCTGCTTAGTTAATCTATTTGTGAGGGTGATTTCCACAGTCCCAAAGCCCAGATATCACTCATATTTGTAGTGAGTTTGCCATTGGGAAATTCTTAAAAATCTGTCATATGTACTAACCTGAATAACTAAATATCTTTGAGGGTCCCGAGCCATCCTCGAAAATTCAGCAGCCAGTTCCTTAAATTTTGGTCTACTGTCAGCATCAATCATCCAACCTAGAAATTCACATGCAATAAAAATCATAATCAGGAAGAAATGGGACATGGAATTTATGAAAATATAGAATAAATATGTTGTTTTTATAGTAATGTTTTGAAAAACAAAGAAAGCTAATGAAAGAAACAATCCAAAAGGCGAGGGTTCTACTTCAAGCAGTTTGTTGACACAACTAAATGTAATATACTATAGGATAACGTAAGTTTGTATTTTCATGATCTAAATTAAAATCGGTTTCTTCCTAAAAAATATAACCTAGTTTAACTGTACTAACGTACAGAGTTTCCGATAGTTTTTTCTTAGGTATAGAGAAAATTCTCTTTTAAAACTTTTCTTTGATGGTTATAGAAGAGGTGATTGGAATATAATTTATTATTTTGTATCAGGAGTGCCATGGAATAAAAGCTTTGGTTATAATGTGGTACAATAGTACAAAGGGTAAAAAAAAAAAGGAATAGAAAGCAACTTTTTAATGTTACCTTTTTCCCTGGTTGGGGGAAATAAAAACAACAACAAACTAATGTACAGTGATTGGTAATGTTTGTTCAGCAATCACCATTAGCTTATTTTAGTATTATCCTTTTCAGAATAAAAATTCTCTCAGCAATTTTCAGGGTATGCATTATTATTTAGCTGGGAGTCTAGATAAAATGGGTCTCATCTCCCCAGGCTCTGTGTAGCTGATGACAAAAATAAAAGTATCAAGCTTTCCTTGATTTTCTTGTCAAATGACCCTTTTCATAAGTATTAAAACTCCTAAAAGCAAGGTAAAACTCCCTATTGGGCAAAGTTTTCTTAATTTTTCATTATTTCATCAGGGTATTTAAATAAAGTATCTAAATCATCCTGTATGCTAGTTATGGGATCAAATTATATAATGTGTGCATGTTTTTAAACATTCTTCCATAGATGACTTCTGGTCAGTGCTTGATCCAATCTATATATATAAAAGGCTAAATGTCTGTCTGACCAGTAGCTATGATGCACACTGACCACCAGGGGGCAGATGCTCAATGTAGGAGCTGCCGAGCTGCAGTGACGTGGCAGCGGTGGTTCTTGGGTGACACACTCTAGAACCAGAGAGGAGGGAGCCGGATTCCTCACGGGGCCATGTGATTCCACCTTTGGCTGTGGGTCATGTTGTTGCTGGGATACTGTTGACCCCAAATCTGGTTTACTGCACACTGGCATTTGCGTTCCATACCCTGTATGACAGCAGCTTTGCAGAGTGCCTCTCACACTCTGGGACCCCTTGGGGGATGTCAGAAAGCCGGTTTCGGCCCAATCCCCACAGGACAGGACAAGGGACCCCACCTGCCAGAGAGATGCTGCTCACTCCACAGACACCCTTCGAGCCCGGCATCACCACAGGTGTGGCCGGCCGGGGAGGGATTGCTGGAGGTTGGCTCCAGGGCGTGTCCGGCCCATCTCACCCAGTCCTGCCCCACTGGCCACCTTCTAATTAATTTCCTTTCAATGTGCACGAATCTGTGCTTCAGGTCACCAGTAGAGCCATAAAGCTCCTTTCTCTTTTGTCTAGGAGTTCAATTTTTATTCTTATTCTGGAAAGTCCTTGGGTGTCATTTTGTATACCATTAATTATACCTGAATTTTATTTTTCCTAACAAAGTTGAAATGCTCTGTATTCTATATGCATCCACTGGGGGCGGGGGGGTGGGGGGGGGGGAGTAATATTTTAGA